CTTCATTAAAAATGGCCTTTATAGACAGGTAGTCTTTGTATTACAATTGGATTACCGGTATTTATATTTTGATTGCCAGAAAATTAGATGGTACTGTTGCAACAAAGCCACATTTATTTGAGTTGACCAAAATTGAAATCGAATAAATTGACTTATTCTCTAAACGAAGGTGAATCTGCAAGTATATTGCAGAAAGGGTGGTCACGTATACGACAGGTCATCATTATACGCATGTTGCTCATATGTTATGCCTTGAGACTGCCTGAACGTGGTCATTTTACACAGGTTTGACTGTATATGATATATTCTGTTTGCTGTTTTATTACTTTGTTTCTATGTTATTACTTTGTACTTACAAAGCTTCCATACCTGAACACGTCACAGCATGTGGTAAGCGTATCATCAATCTGTCTTGGTTAATGAGCTTCTCATGCTTTATAGATTTCATTATCTTGATCCACCGGAGGAAAGAATGCTTTTAGAAGCTTTACGTCAACTCTATTACTTTGAAGCAATAAATAAGTAAGTATCCATCCTCTGGATGAGTTTTTTTTTTCTAGTTTATATTATCATCCATCATATTTGAGAATACGCTATTGTTTTGTTTTATCTATGATTACATGTGGTACTAGTTGGTAGCATTTTGCTAATACTTGACAGTGACAAATGTTGGGAATGTGAAATAAGACGCGAATTGCCCCATGAAATAAGAGTGTGATATGTATTCAATAATGGTCAAAATTGACATTTTTGCAATGGTTTAAATTGCATAATTTTGCTAGGCAACATAGGATAATACTAAGATTCAAATCAAAAATAATATATTATTTTTGATATAAATCTTAATATTTTTAATACCCTTCCCCCCCCGGTACTTAATATCATTTAAAAAAAATTACATTTAATTGAATGAGTTTCCAGTGAGTTAATAATTTGTTATCATATACAATGGATATACAAGTTATATCCCACAATGCTTTGCACTTTCCAATATGTGCTGTAACATGCTCAGTAGTTCAAAATTAGAATTAGGCTTAAACTGCCATATTTATTAGATTAAATCGAAATATACCGATGAATGTGAACTTCATTTTGCAAGTACTTAATCCTCAAATCCATATTTTGCTGAAGTCTAACAAAAAAGCTTTAGCTTTGAATGCAAATACATTAAAAATTTGGTGAAATGCTCTTTTACAGATAACACGAAAAAAGTATGTTTTATGATAATGAGTACAAAATACCAAATTGCCAAACTATGCTTAACCATTCTTTGTAAATATAAGATTGAGTTATATAGCGACTAAATCTTTGCATGGGCAAATAAAAATATAAATGCTGCGTAGCAAGGATTTGCTTTCAAGCCGTAGATCGTTACACTTGTTTTATGTGCGTGTCTGGTCGGCAAGAACTGGTCCTTCATTTTGGAAGATAAAATAGCGGCGTTATTCATTGTTATTAAATATATATAATGTGTTCCTGTTAAAAAACAACATGCGGACAGTGTTGTCATATCAGATCGCTAGGTATGGATGATTGGTAAGTGACATTTGTTATTAGACATTTGCAAGCTAGTCAGCAAAAGTGTAAATATATGAAATCACAGTGGGTTGGCCTATAGCAGCATGGCCAAAATGACAATACTATTGTATTCAATAACAATGGATAATTGTTCTGAGAAAATTTTATTTAGAGCTGTTTGCTATTGGTATGGGTTATGACAACAAGAATATAATATAAAATTAATCTTTCATACACTGTTGCTATTTTTATAAACTCGACCATGTTGATATCGTGTACATATTTCCTGTGTGGTTGCTATGCATATCTGATAGTTGCAATAAAAATAAAATCGTTATAAAAGTGTTATCAAAATGAAACATCACATACGTTTCAAGGCACTATTCGCTAACAATTACAAAAATAAATCTTTTATTGATGTGTAATGGAAATTTTACATAAAATGGCTTCTATATCTTCCGCTCTAACTGTCACTAAACATAAATGATTATCATCTTCATGATTAATCAAAACAAAATTCCATTAACTTGTGCTTGCAGACCAACAAGATCTATTGAGACTAGAACAAGTATGAGACAGAGAAATCACTGGAAATAAATGTGTTTGTGATAAAAAGATATTTATTCCAACCTTCTTAAATCTTGGGTTAATAAATTAGAAGAGTTTTCTAATCCAAGTCTACATGTACATTAGGAAATACTGAATCCTCGGGGGCGGAGCTACGTCACAGACGTTCCACGTTGCTAAGACGCGCACCACTGTACCATGCATTTCTATGGGCTCTGTGCGCGCTGCTGTGGAACGCCGGTCGAGCCGGTGAAAATTCGAGAAAACAACACAAACTCAACTTTGAAGTAATCCCGAACAACCAAATTTATATATGTTACACACGTAGGGCTAATCTTGTTACACTGTTCAGGGGAGTCTCAACAATCATCCCAAAGTACTGTTTTCTGCGAGTTTTGGGCCTTTGTTTTCACCGCCGCGGGTTGCCAGGCGTTGAAAATGCCCGGATGTCCGCCCCCGAAGATAGACACATCTATGCAATTCAGAATCTTTTACTGTATAAGATGTATTTCCTATAGCGCCCTCTATCAACGAAGTGCTGTGACATAAATGGATGGCTGTGCTCGGTGTTGATGTTGTTTTGTTCCATAGTACACATAGTACGTCAATAAAACAATGTTTTTCAGAGATTTACTATATTCTAAATGAATCACTGTTTCAACAAACACATTATCATTTTAAATGACTTTGAAATTTTATGTAAAGAATCAAATTTCCGCTTGAAGGTACCACAAGGTATAGGCATTTTTGCATTGAAAATCCGTATTATTAGATGATTTTTTTTGTATTTGTGGCTTTTTGTATGTGCTTTATGTCCATCCAATTACATAGTATACCAGTTACTGTAAAATACTTTATTTTAGCTGGATTTAATTTTCGCTGAAAATACTTTTTGGGTGTTTGAATTTAAAATATAGGGAAAAAGATACATTCGCTGGACTTTATTTTTACCGAATCAATCCTTCGGCGAAAATAGCGAAAATTAATTCCAAGTGGAAATAAAGTATTTTACAGTAATTGATGCTTTAATGTTTAAAATAATTTCAAAGGACATGAAAATAATGAAATTAATTGCCTCAAAAACATAATGCACTGCATGGTATAACACTTGATGTTATGCTGCCCTCAAGTGTTGACTATTTTGAATTTCATTGTATTTGTTTATTTATACAGCAATATGTGCTGTATTAATTGATGCTTGACTTTTTGTGTTTATAGAATTGTACTTTGCTGTTTTAGGAGTGGTCATATTAATGGATTAGGACATCATATGGTTGATTATCCATTATCTAGTGGATTATCTAGATTTATTTATAGAATTGTAC